GCGGGTTCCATCCATCGTGAGGTTTCTTGTCTTGTCGCAACCCCCTCGAGGTCCTTCGCACCGAGGGTGAAACAACGTTCTCTGGCGGCCGCAGGTATCTCCGGTCATTAACGGTTCAGGTACGCGAGGGCAAAAAATTTCTTCGGGTCTCCTTTTGTTCAATTCCTTTCCTTTAGCCACGCCGCGCTTTTCTTAGGCTCAGGTCTCGACAAGATCGTGACTAGAGTGAACGTGTTACCTCGAGGTGTCCAGATTACCTATCGGCGCATTTACGGACAGATTTTCTAAGTAATTGTCTGTGGGTAAAACGACTGACCCTACGGTGGTTTGTTTAGAAATTTGGAAAGGTCCGAACTGGACTTTCACTTAAAAATTTGGAAAGGTCTTCGCTGTTTAGAAAGGAAAGGTTCGAACAGGGCTTAAGTTCAGGCTAATTTTAGTTTGAACTTCATCTGCTGATTTTACATGTGTATTTTATTTGCATATCGCGTTGAACTGAATACAAACAATCATTAATCATTAGAAATTGCCGTCTACAATATTGTAAGAAAAATATAAAATTCTATATGAGATGTTTAGTTTAAACTGAAAAAATGCCGGTCTCCGATTCACTGAATTTGTGCACACGAAATTATGCAGTGACATCTTCGAACCATCAATTACATCTGAGACCTCGCATAAATCTTAAGAAATTCAACCTGCCGCTCGTTGGAAACTTGTTCATCGAAATAATCATCGAGCCTCTCGCCAATCGACATCGAAACTTCATTGACACGTGTCACGCAATCATTACCTGCAGCCGTGCGTGAAATAAGATAGCTTGCCCGTACAATTACTGCTGTCGCCATTGCGATCGCTTATGGCTTCAACCTAGCAGTTTGAAAATTTCTGGAAACATTATCTCTGTAATATAATCATTCGAATATAACAAGATCATGTGCCTTTTAGATTCTACTCGAGACATTTGTCATCCGAGTGGATATCTACGTTTCTAAGCATTGCGACAAAGCAACATTTTTCCGTTATCCGTTAGACAGACGCATACATATTACAGATAAGCATTAACGCGCGTGTTCATTGTACATAGAGGGAGAGGCTGGCGCCACATCGAGTCTTTTCAACAGTCGCGACGCTAACTCAGTAGTCACTTATGCAATCGGAAGGTTCATCGAAGGATGTGACACATTGCGCGGCGACGCAATATAAATCATACACGATCAGGGCTGCAGGCGATGCATAGCCATCGGAATTGGAATTATCGAGCACGCCCACTTACCCACAGATAAGCCGAATAACGTGAGCCCTGAGGCGAACCATTCGTCAATCGTCGGGGCGTAAAAAAAAAAAAAAGAATCCTTACGGATCATAATTGATTCGGTGATTTATCAGTGTTAGAGAGATTTGATCTTGTTTGATTTCCTGATACTTTTCGTAAACGGCGACGCTTTAACTCAGAGTACTTTTGGCAAATTTAAATAAAAAATGAATCGTGAAAAGTTAGATTTTGAATTTTATGTACTCATAGAGACATCGTATTTGTAGAATGTGAAATATCGACGGTGTAAATAGCGGGCCACGTTTGCGTTTGAGCTTGCGACGCAGAAAGAACCGCGACCGTCAATTTTGGCGCAATTCGCCGAAACCGAGAGGAATTAAGACGGATCGCTCCAAGAGTCTGAGAGATTCGAGCGAAGAGGAAAGGCGACAGAGTTTGTCTTGCTTAGGTAGATGGGAAAAATTATCTTTGAGAAACAAATTCGTATAAATTAATTCAATTTCTTTCTTTGATAAAGTAACATGGAATTCAATTTATTCGCTGCTGAATAATCATCTTGTACGTTTAATGGTACAATTAATGTAATTTTCCAATAATCATTAATATGATTGCTACGTCACCAAGCAAAATCTTATTAAAATTAGTAATCCTCCTTTTTTGGAATGCGTACATGAATTATATTACACATTTTTATCGGTGAAGTGAGAAGACCGCCTTGTACACCCGCATTCATTGCCGCTTAAATGCAAATTCAACAGTCGCTTATCAGGCTATATTACGTGGCGATAGGGAGCGAACAAGTTCGGTTTAAAGACGCCGGCTCGGGTACAGAACCGGGTACTCGACTACGAATGGCTTATTTAGCCAGATAGATCGACTGGAAAATCTTTATTTCAACAAAGATGCTTCTGAATTTTAAAGTTACGTTATAAAATAGTACTCGACGAAAAGAGAAGAAATTACGTTACTCTCTACTCTGAAAGAACAGCATAAATGCAAAATACGTTTGAATTGCATGTTTGATCTTTAGAAACAGAGTATCTCGTTGGCAAAGAACGGAAGTGCAAATGCACGGAAATTTTCATTTTCTCTCGAGACTAACGTAACGTCTAGGTGTAAGAATCGCGGCGCGGTTAACTCCCGTGGCAAGAACCTCGAGGCCGAGGTTCGAAGGGAAAGAAGTTGCGAGGCGTATCGTAAAAGATGGGTAAGCACCGACCGGAACATTCATGCTCTAGTGAAATTAAATACTAGCGCAGCGAGGGCGCGTACAGAGCCGCCTTGAAGCCATTTAAACCCGGCGAGGATATTCGCCTGACTTTCCTCGGCATAAATCTTCGTTCGGGACCGATGCGACGCGTTGCCACCACGTGGTGCAATTGCCAATGGTGGCATTTGTCACAGTGGACGCGTTGGCCTTGCCAATTATTCGTGGTAGGTGATCATCGTAATCGAGTAAACTGGTCAATAATTATCTGTAGACATTTTGTATGTCAGTTTTACATAAAAGTATTATTTATGGCAAACCTAAATATTCTTTTATTGTACAATGTAAAAAGTTAATCAGGGCAAAAGCGATGTCCTCCTGAACCGACTGGAAAGATTTTTATCGAGTTAAAAATTGTTTGTAGAAAGTTTGATACGCGCAGGAAGATAGTACAGTCGGTCGCTAAAAATACGTGTTACGTCATTGGTATCGTTTTGCTTGGCAATAAAAATTATGTACAATTAGTGACCTGCTTTGTACGAAGAACCGCCACAATGATTCATATACGTATGGACGTATGTGAGCTATGAGCTTGTGAACCTATTATAGTGATATTTTAATTGCTCACGCATTATGGTTCATCAGAATTACGAGTTCGTGGTTGCAGATACTTTTCGTAACTTACAAAGAATTGTAGTAAACTAATGGTGATGCGTAGTAAAAATAATTAACGTATGAGATTAATAATTCTAATGAATTATCGGTAGCGGAATAAGTAAAAAGAAATTTTTTAATGTATGTATCGTTAATTGGCTAAAACTGTTCAAATCAGACAGGATGTTCCTGTAGTCTCGTGAAACAGGAATCGAGAACGATAGAAATAACGCCACGCTATAATTAATACGAGCCGATAACAGCGAAAGCCGTGGATAAGTTAACAAGCAACAATATACATTTAAATTTCAAATTCCATTGATAGTATCTCGAGCCGAAAGTGAAGAAATGGTTATTAATGATCTCGGTTAATTAATGCAACCCTTCTGATGTTTTATAATAATTACCGCGACGAGAAACTTCAAGTATGATGAATTAACGTGGTACATTGGCAAAACGTTTCTTAATCCAATTCTCGGTTAACATTATCTCATGTTTATTGTTTCACTCTATTACAACGGTAATTATTGTAAGAAATGATCTAACAATAAGACAAATCTTTTATTGTCGAAATATGCAAAATATACGAGGTAGTTCGATCGACTCTGTACGAGTCCAGATTCGTTCAGGACTTTCCAGGTTTTTCTGGGGTAACCAGAAGTCGCATTATCGGTCCTCAACTAAACATTGCAGCCCGATACTTAAGCATCTGGAATTCGTCAGGCCTTCCTGATCAAGTGAACTTTGTTTCGCTTATTATCATCGATAAACATGTCAACAGTAGCAATTACTATTGTTACCACTGTTTTACTATTAGGAGAGCTGAATCGCCGCCATAACTTAACCGCAACTCGCAATCAGAATCTGATTGTAACTTTACCCCGATTCGTCAGCCATTAAGCAACCGTAATACGATCGCTACTTCATCACTGTCACTGTTACTTGTCACCGTCAGGGCTACTGTCACCGTAGCCATGACCATGACCGTGACTATAACAATAGCATACTACAATAATAATTATTATACTGCTTTCAGTAGTAAAAACAACCACTTCCATCATTGTAATTATGCAATTATTCGCACACTAGGATCTTGGAAATCAGATAGCATTTCCTTGTACCTACATACTTCATTCCTTGAATGTTATATAACATTGAATAACGATGCTCAAAGCAAGCAATTACAGTTTTTTATGTTTTTACATTTTTCCTCGCTAATCAACCTGCATAACTCTTGGAAGTGGAATTCTAAAATAGCTAATATACGTTTGATGAAACGGTAGCCGCTTTAAGGGGTGAAGCACCCTTCAAGGGACTGGTCATCGACTTGCGATTGTTTGGGTACCAGATGTTCGTGTCTCTGCAACGCGACACGATCGTTCTCGATTTACGTGCTCGTAGTACTCCGACGTGCCACTTATTGTTCAATCATTACGACAGTCGTCTGGTACGCGGTGGCCAACATCCGGTCGCGTAAAGTTGCACGCGCGTGTACAACGGTGTAGTAAAACTTGCGTAGTACGCTGAAACGAGGAGGAGCGCACCGAGTAGAACCCGAAGAAACCACGCACGAGGTTTCGTGTACGAAGGACATTCCCACTCCTACACGGACCGTTTCTCTCTCCCCGGCACCGTTCAAATTATCCACCGGAAGCGGCCCTTATTTTCCCTGCACGTATGGTGCACGCTTCAGAAATTTCTCGACTCGAACGAACAAGCTCTAGGAGACGAGAAAGAGAAAGAGAGAGAGAGAGAAAGAGAGAGAGTGAGAGAGAGAGAAAGCTCGTTCGATCGTCGAACACGCGAGAGCAAGAGCGGTTGGAGTTAGAGTAGCGAATCTTTGCACACGCATTCCTCGACAATTCTAATCAACATAATTGCTATCCTATGCAGAAGGGACCCGGAAGTACATAGTTATTTCAAAGTTCTCCATATCAAATCGGACATTGCGTTGATTGCAAATGAACAGCCATCTGACCGGTCTCATCCTGAATTGTTTAGACGTTCGTGGCAGATGTGACGGAGGCTCGTTTGTCAGTACGTTATCGAAGTTCATTCTATCCGGATCAGGCCTAAGGTCCGTAAATCTCGCGTGGTCGTCCCTGAACGTGTAACGTCCAGCTCGTATGGATCCCTACTACACGATGCAAACCCGGCACTGGCGCCCTAGTCATACCGATCGTATGGTGGGGGCATAGTTACGTTTCACGTGACATGCTGGCGCCTCGGTGGTAGGGATCGATCGGTGATCACGTGACCGGTTGGCGCCTCGGTGGTAGGGACGCACCTACCACCCCTACGAGGATAGAAGACCGAGCCACGGACAAGCAGGAGAACCGGCGGCATTCTGACCTGGTAAGTCGCCAGCGTCTGGTCGTGAGAGAGTGAGCAAAGAGCTTAGGCTTGGTTGCCGCATCGCTGGACATTTAAATCGACCCACGAGCGCAGACGTTGTTCGATAAGGGCAACACAGTCTTTGCTACGCGTGTTCGTATATCTACTCGCGAACCGCCAGTGGTCCAGACTCGCTAAGTAACTCTGACTCATGAAACAAGTCCGAGTTTACATGTTTATTTATTAGAATCCCACGTACCTTCGATCATCGCATACGCATACTAGTGTCGGTTTAAAGATACACTCTCAGACGGACGGAAAGAAGAGTAGAATCGAAAGGAAGAGTCACGATTATTTCTGGTGATTGTCGGTCAGAGAACAGCCGAGAGACGAAACAGAAAGTGGTTTTTCATCGGGGAAAAAACCTGCAACGTCGGCTTCTTTTTCTACGAGCGAGTCACCAGGAATTCGTTGTTTCTTGCGTCGTACACGTACACTGTATATTATTTTCGCGTAAACAGTCTCTAGGTGAGTGATATTTCGGAGTCATCGCCCGAGACCAAGGTTCCCGATACGTGTACATACGTACAATACACACGGCGTACATACGTAGATACGCAGCGCGTTCGTCCTCTGTCCATCGATGTACGCATGTTGTATTTTTTGTGAAGTGCTGAGTGTCCCGACGAGCGTCTTCCCGTGCTGCGAATTCGTGTGAACTTCTATCCGTATCTTTACGATCGATTCGTGCATGCTCCGTCTGGTCGCGCCGGCGAAAAACGGTTTGGCAACGTGGCACGTGAATAAAGTGACACCGCGACGTCGAGGACGACGACGGCGACGGTGACGACGGTGAAGAAAAGGGACGGAGAACGAAAACCGATCCGAGACGAACGTCCGGCGGACACTTTGTTTCGCGAGCCGATCGACTCTCGCTCGTTGAAGAGGAGTTAACTCGAGGGCAATACCTGCCGTCACGTTCCCTGGATCGTGCGTGTTCGAGAGAGGTTAGGGAAAAGCATTGCGAGAACCATGGATCTCCTTTGCTGCGAGTCCACCGAGACCGAGTGCAGGGCGTACGACGATCCGGCTCTGCTCGAGGACGACCGTGTGTTGCAGAATTTGTTGAAAACCGAGGAGAGATACGCACCCAGCAGTTCCTACTTCGAGTGCGTGCAGAGGGACATCTCGCCGGCCATGCGCAAGATCGTCGCAGAGTGGATGTTGGAGGTGAGTTACCGTTTCCGGTCCACGTGTCGCCCTTGAATTTGCCTAAATTTTACCATTAAACGCTCCTTCTCCGTCCCGATGCCGTTGCACACGCATTCCTCCAATCGTCCTTCGAGCGTCTTGGTTTGGTCCAATCCGATTCTATCGCGTGCCAACTCGAAATATCGTTGGGACCAAAGTCGCACCACCCGCGAGATCCCTTCGACTTTTTCGAGAACGTAAGGACTACATCGGTCGATACGGCTTTGCGGTTTGCCCTACTAGTTCTAATTCCACCTGTTCAAACTGATAACACTGACAAATTGATATAGGTATTATTAACGATGATCATTAAATTCAATTGTTACACTCAAAGGGTGTAGATATATTTAATTAAAACGTACTGACAAAACGTTAAGTCGGCACGTACGATTCCCTGACTGGATTACATAAAGTAAATTAGTCAATTTCGTGTACAAATCTCTCCTCTCTTGCGTTATGACATTCTTTGATTTAAAGCATTTTATCAGTTGTAACGTATGTACATGTACAGCAGACCGCTTATCGCAACCGTTTTTAACGGATTACCAGCGAACACCCGCGTTGCGTAATTATGCGTACAATTCTCTGATCAGACTGGACTTTCCATGCAATTACTTGTCAACAATAACACACTTGGATATTGTAGTCGGTGCATAACATCCGGTTTATCTGTGACCAGTATCGTTAGTCACGATCTCCGTTCGATGAATGTTGCATCGAAGAGATATCGACAAGTCGCAACCGAAGAGCGACCGTCTTCTTTTCATCGAGAAAGGACGTGAAAATTCGAATCGACTTCAGACAGGTTTAGACCAGTTTTTTATATACATCGATTTTTTTTCGGCCGTGTAGCGCGCGTGGAAAGTCGTCGAGCGTTAGCTTATTTTTGGCCGCACGGAAGCGAGAGAGAGAAACCAGTCGATGACGTCGAACGCGAGTCTGGCGTCCCTTTAAAATTTAAAAAACCGTACTCGTTACGTAGACGTACCGAAGCGGTATTTGCGTTTAACGCCGGTTTTCGTCGTCATTTAATGGAGAATCGCATAGCTCGGTGAGATCAATTACATCATCGTGATTTACTAAACGCGTACTGAAACCAGTTTCATAATTACTGCTCTACTCAGTCGCAACAAAAAGATTAGAGGCACTTGGAATTCTTCTTAAGGAAAAGTGAACATTCTGATAATATGTATTTAATATCTGTATAAATATATTCTTGATAATGTAAGTGGAAACAAAAGTAAAAAAGTAGTATGGTTTAGATTCTTGTCGTGTAATCGGCTGGCTACCGGCAGACTTCCTTTCGACGGCTATGGTAATGAATTCTTCCCCGCTTCCGGATCGAATTGCACGATTCCACGTTCATTTTTCCTTTCAACGTGACTCCGGCCATGGCTGACAATGTAGTCTGACCGGGCTATCACGGATACGCGCATCGTGTATATGTATGTACGTTTAAATGCCTCTGCCTTTCGAACATGCTTCCATCGCCTGCCTCGCCTCAGACAGATACGTGTCCACGTTTCTCGCGTTTGCTCTTATCCAGCACACATTTTTTCTCTCGCGGCTTAGTAACGGTAATCCTTTTTTAATACCTCGGTTGCCGTTCGTGTACCACCATCGGTACATCGAGAATTTCGCTTTTGCACAATTGAGTATCGCCGCTGATCGCTTTCTTTCTTTTCCCTTGTGCGATTTCGTCCTTAGAAAGTAGAGACTCAGATCTTCGACTCAACTGTTAATTTCATATTATCATTGTAACTAAAAATAGTCACGGATGACCATAATCGTCGAGCTTTCTAATGATGAAATCGTCACTACGTTTTCGTCGTGTATACGTTCGACGAAAAAATCCAAGGATCATCTTTTGATCGATCCGTTATCGGAATTTACATTTTCTTTATCAATTTACAAGTGGCCGTTCGAGTAGCGAGCTTTTAAACTACTTACACTATCAGTTATAATCAGAACTCTAAACAACAGACACTTACTAATTGCAACTTTATTAAAGATCCTCTAGTTTTAGAACGTTGCCTAAAATCTTGGCTACACGGACCAAATTCGTTTCAAGTACAATACAATTGACACCGTTTCGCGTTAAACATTTCTTTTTCTGATTATCCGATCGATCCGACCGACGGAGGTGTCAATCATACTAAACGTGGTTCCTCGACTCCTTTGACAAGCCGGTATCGCGCGATTAGGGGTTCAAGGCCCGGCGGGTCCGATTGATTTTTCTCGTGCAATTAATTGCAATGATTTGGCAAAGGGGAGGAGGAGGAGGAGGAGGTTTGTTGTAAACTCGGCCTTGAATCACGCTACGTCGGGAACGTGACCGGACTCTCTGGGTCGCGTATGCACGCGTGCCGAAGTCCGTCGCTTTGAATTCTTTGGCATTAGAGCTACCACCGTCGATTCACTTTCCGATCGCCCGAATTCATTTCACTCTCGCCCTTTCGTTCCGTTCTCACGCGCATCTACCCTCGCGAAATGCTTGTACATCGCCGCTGCATGATTTAGAATCGAGTATTCTCAGTTTTAAGTAAAAATCCTTCACAGGTTTCATAAATTTTTCAACCTTGTTCTCGACTCTACGAAATTTGTTATAGCTGTTTTTAACTCGTTAATAAGAGTGACTTCGTTGTTAACAAGATTGCTTCAACCGTGGTATGAATCTTTTAGAGTAGAAACGTTAATTGTTACAGATAAGAAAAAATTGCGTTCGTTGAATTTTTTTCTAAGGTACACTGCTGTTTTAATTGGTTACACTTTGGAGTATCGGTATTTATTAAATGTTCAAATATGATTCGAGGAGAGAAGCATCGTTCTCTGAAAATAAAACAGATACAATTTCATTTTGAATTCTATTATTTTCTGAGATCGCCCGCGACCAAAATACATTGTTGTCCTCACAATTTGTCCACTGAAACATATTTTCACTTTAAAGTATTGCAAGCGAACCTTGTTGGCTAAAAATATTATTCGATCAACGTAATCGTTCGAGAATTACAATCTTTTTAAAATCTGACTAAAGAAAATATGAATAATATAAGAATTCTAGTTTCCCCTCGACTATGTCAGTTGGATAATTGCAGGGAATCAGTTTAATAAGAATTGTGCCACAATTTCCTTTGATCAATCGTGTGAAAACATTGAACACACATATAATTAGTAAGAGTTTACGCAGACCTGTTACTTCAAAGTAACAGTAGAGACACGAAAATAGACTCGGCGCGACGAGACCCGAAAGAATATTGGCTGACCCCTCTTCTTTTTCTTTAGTCGGATCTGGCGTGTCGAAGGACGGATTAAAGTTTATCGTGATAGATAACCAACCAATGTGGAGACAGATATCCAGCCCCCTAGGACCGTACGAATGTTTGACGATCACCAAACAGTTGTTAGACGCCGTTGCCTAAACTCTACAATAGCTTCTGTTCCATAGGTGATAACAACAGTCTGCGCTCTGATACACGTCATCAAGTAATTCACGGCACGCTTGACAATTAAATTGGCTTTTCAAACGTGATAAACGTTTCCTACGAGTTCCAATAATTTGATATAAGATCGATTTCGATAGGACAATGTTGTAATTGGGACGGCAGGTTGCGTAACCGAAGTGTCGATACAGAAATTCGTCACACTGTAAAAATAGTAGAGTCACGGGTGAATTGTGAATTTTTTAGATAATTGAAACACGCATTCGGTAATCTCTATTTAACGAAAAGGGGAATCAGAAGTTTGATAGTGGGCGAAGTCTCATTAAGCCGAATGAGAGAATGTTAGGAGAATTTTTTAACAGAATTTCGAAACCATTCATAAAAAATAATTATCGAAGGGTAAACAGATGACCGTTTCAATAGATATACGGAAAGAGTTTGTTGGCCCCCGTTTTTATCGGTGAACCACCGCCCTTGCCCCGCGTTTGTTCTTAATTGGAGCTTGAAACGTGTTCGCCCTGCGCGCGAGAGATATCGAGAGCTTCGATTCGGATCACGGTCCCTTTTACATATTTGAACAGATGCGTGATGTAATCGGCCGTGACTTTTCTTCGTTTAATTCTCTTCGCAACGTGTTAATTAAAAAAAAAAAAATGATAATCTCGACTTCATTTTGCTGCAGAAAGTTTTTTTATTATATTTACTCGTTCTGCTGTGACTCTATTTGCCATAGATAAAACATCTCTGTACTTTTCCATTTTTAATCATGATTGGTTAATATTATGAAGTCAATCGAATACGAAATCGAAGGAATTTAGTACAGTGATAAACTATCTGTTTTAACAATAGGCGCGCTAACCGGTTTACAGTTATTGAATATATATCTAAGGATTAAAACTTGAATAACGGTGTACATAGAAAACTACTGAAAACGCATCTGCCCGGCAGACTGTGTTGAATATACAAAAACGATGCCATAAATCGACACCCTTGGAAGCTACTTACACGCGGCATAGGCGCGGTCGATTCGTAGAAACGACCACCTCCGAACTTGGGAAAGCTCTCAGTATCTCTTGAATGAAATATGTATCGGCTGCTCCGTGAAAATTTTCCGAAACGATACTTCAGAAATAATTAGGTGAAGAGCGATAAGTAACCGATAGGCAGACGATAGGCCCAATAAGTGAAATGATAATTAACATGATCAGATAAAACATTTTTAGGTAACAGTTAATTCGGTTAAACATGTTCATTTAAAATTCGTTTCCGTTCCACAGTACATTCAAGCTAGATATAGAAAATACGGCATTCTTTTAAATTAAAATCTTACGGTTACGCTCATGATTTTATTGCGAGAATAGCTGGATTTGCCACTTGGGATCCTGAAATATTTACACCGCAAAAACTTCTCCCCTCGCAACGCGTTTAATCGATGGTAGGGCACAGACAATTATTTCGTTAAGTCGCCGGTACTAATTAGTCGTGGTATAAACGTCATGGAGCAATTACTGGAGGTAGGGTGGCTGAGAAAAGGGGGTGGATGCGTTGGCCACGCTCAATAAGTCCGCGTGGCAACGTATGGCTGCACTCGAACCGGTAGAAAAGCAACCAGTGGGATTTCCGTGGAAAATTTCGGGCAAACCCCTGTACCGAAAGCCACAGGGCCACGTGTCCGCATTAAACCGTTCATTCCGGAGTCTTCAGTATTTAGCGTTCGGTTATTAAATTACAGTTAATCTTGTAAATCCTTTCTTAATTACTTCATGTATATTATGTAATAAAATGAACAAGAGTTAATGTACAGTCTGAATACTCTTACATTAAAAGGTTGTATTGAATTTTTGATTATTTCATTAAATTTACACGCAGTCGGTTTAATTAAAAGTCTCTAGCAAGCGTATTTCTAACTAAACCAGAAAGTCCATCATTTTCATCGAACAAGGAAGCAGATATCGTTTAGTAATAAATTATTTCGAAGCCGTCGAACTGGAATTTCGTTCCACGTCGGAAGCTCGTTATACCCTTCTTCAGCATCGACTGTATCGATTGTATCTTCTCCTCGAGGACGCTTTGAAAACAAAAACCGAGGTCCCCGACCTATGCCCCAGGGTGATCGATTAGCTAAAGCCACGAAGTTTAAAATACGAAGAGAGGAAATCCGGTCTGATGTACATACGTGCTTCGTTTTTTTACTTCTTTCACTCGTTTACCGTTACTTTACTAATTTGCCGTTATCTTTCACCTCTAAGAACATCCAAAATGATAAATTTCAAGTAATACTTATTAATTGTATGAAAATAATTTAGTTTATTTTTAAATTTAGTTACTATTTAATAAGTTATCCTGACTTCGACGAGATGAAAAGTAAAGTAAGCAATAAATGAGATAGATTTAACACAATAGAACCCTCTTTTAACCTGACCTAACACAATTCGACGTGAAAACAAAGTAGCAGTTATTTTCGTGCTTAGCTATAATCCCCGTGTACCTATTAAACCCACAATTAAGTTTCTCGATCCATTTAAAACGAACCCCTTTACCTGAGCGTAACTGTATACCCGTACGTCACCTAATACGAAGTCCAGGTACCGATGCCTCCTCGATTCCCAAGCACCCTTAAACCTCGGCCTAAAATACTTGCCGCGAAGGGACAAATTGTACGAAGGCTTTTGTTCCAATCTGGAATCGGTAGGGAGAGAATTTCTAACCCGTCTGATCGTTTGCGACAGGTATGCGAGGAGCAAAAGTGCCAGGACGAGGTCTTTCCCCTGTCGATGAACTACGTCGACAGGTTCCTGTCGATCTGCCCGATCAGGAAGTCGCAGCTGCAGCTGCTTGGAACCACCTGCCTGCTTCTCGCCTCGAAAATGCGCGAACCGTCGCCGCTCACGGCTGACGTGCTCGTTTCGTATACAGACAACTCCATCACCCTGGAAGACTTATGGGTAAGTGTCCACCGAATCTCAGTTCACGCTTTTCATTCGTCGGTTTTGTTCACACCTACGCAACACGTATCTGCTATTGCTCTGCGATCGTTCGATGGTGGTCGATCATCTCGGCGATGCTCACTCGTATTCGTTACACGGGTAGTTTCTAATTTTCGCAAGTGGAGTTTTACTTCTTTTATGAAGGATTAGTAATATCTTTGAAGAATCACATTTTCCGCAACGAAGGCGATCGTTATTTTATAGATGGAAATTTATACGAAGTATGAGGAACAAAAATGCGGATTAACAATTGTTCCTAAGACAAATTAATTTTATTTTATCTTTGCCCAACGGGCGGTCTTTTATTTTCATTACGGATAATAAGATGCTAATCGGGAAAACTCTTACTATCCCACTCGCGTTTAAACAATACCTGACCTAGTAGAGCTTTTACTATTGGCGATAGCAAAGGGAAAATCCTGTTAGTAAACACTATCAGCTACCGATAAAACGCGGCGCGTTAATGAAACACGTCGGGCTTATCGTTAATTGCACCTCCGTAAACGATAAGTCCTCAGGTAGAGTAGAGTACGCAGGGCACGCCGTGAGTATGTTTTTCGGTGCAGAGTCATGTGCTCGATACATGCTAACCACCTTCGTATATCTATACGCCAAAAGAAAAAGAGATCCCCTTTGCGATAAATTAACGATAATGAGCGGCTGAAGCCTCTTCGTTCAATTATAGAAGACGCCAAAACTTCCATTTCTTTTTTTTATTCCGTTCTATTTCATTCTCACGCAAAGCTGGCGATATTTCTTTTATCCAAATCATTTCACAACTAGAAGAGGCACGACTTTTAAAGAATTAGAATCATTCTTCAAGAATTAGATTTTTACCTTAACGCCGATTCGTGGTACGGTTTTTTCTTTCTATGTTTAAAATGTATCAGGGTTAATATCGATTTCGCGTACGCGTATGCTAATGTCTCGAATGAAACTTTCATAGGAGAAATTTTTCGGTACGTTCGCCGAAAACAGTTGATCGTATCAAACGAGTCTATTTTTCGGTTCGTTCGAAAACAAGAACGTTTGGTGATAATCTGTTTCAAGGATAGTCTTTATCGCAACTATTTTTTACACCGCATTTCAATTGCTTTCGACAATTTTTACGTGATAATTTATAGTTTATAATATATTTAAATAAAAACTGAAATAGTGTTCAATAATGAAACTCGTTATCTAATATCTAAGGTAATCAGATTGACTAATTTATAAAAGGATGCAAAAAGAAAAAAACGTGGCATTCGTTATCAGATAAAAAGAAACCAATGTCATCGAAGAGATTTCGTATACTTTGGTTATTTAATCGATAAACACAACAGTTCTTGAAGTTTTTAAAAGATTGATACATTTAAATTCGTGATTCTATCAGTCTTCTGTGATAAAAGTGTTTTTTAATTCTGTCAATGTATAGCAATGATTACCTACATGGGAACTACGTGGTTGTAATCTAGATTATACTGTTAGTTTGTTTTACATGGGAACGCGGAAACAATTTACACGCGTTTAAATCGACCGGAGGTGTCTGGAAATTTAAATCGTAGGTGTCGAATTGCGCGTAGTCGAGACACGCGACTGAAGCCGAGGTAGTTTTCGCAAACGTGGCAACTAGGAAACGAGAATTCCTTTGGAATCCGCTTCGGGTAGTGAGAAATCAGAGGGGCCGTTCCGCGTGGGTTAGCCTTTTAAATACCGAATTGTAACATTTTATGTGTTGTAACAAAGTTTTCGGAATTCCTTAGTTGCGTTTAATATTAAAAGTTGACTACTTTTATGTAAGTTTACTTTTAAACACTTGAAAATCCTTAACACGTGTCACACAGTGAAAACGAGATGGATGGCCAGAAATTTTTGTGTTTCCAAGAGAACACGAAAACCGTACGTAACTGGGCTCCACTGGCAAACAAGCGATAGTCTGAGCAAGCCTAAATAGATAACAGCTCTGATACCAGGAACGGTTATTTAATTTCCAGCCACACTCTCCAGTTTGCTTCATTTCTATAGGTTGTTTCCTTTTCTAACCCTTCGACCAACGCTTACAACCATTCATTCATTTTTAAAGTGAATTATATTCATAATTTGTTTGCTCGTTTCTCATTTGTTCCAATTATTATTTACCAAGTTTGAACCTTTGGAACATACGCATTTGTCGCCACGTTTCACAGTATATTAAAACCGAGAGCATGTGCGTATTTCTTCGAATTATATATTTATGACATGGTTCATTCTATACTTCATCTTCCATGTCACAACAAGCATTAATGAACGTAGCAATTAATGTCTTGCACAGTGGAATGTGTAAACATTCCAATGTTTGCCTCATTTATCTAAACGACGAAGTCACAGAGTGGCTGCATTCCACGTTCGTAGCAATAACTCTGGATCATTAGAAGATTAGTGACCTAGATCCGGCGCCACTAAAATTGTTACATGATATCATCTCATTATCATATTATACTCTGTATCAGTCGGGTCGTGCAATTTATGCGAACAATTTCAGCAACAATTGGCCATACCCGGTGATTTCATTAAATTATACAAAATAATTAATTCTATTATAATTAATTCTATTATTTATCAATGGAAATGAGTCCGACTCTGTTTCATACACCTGGCTTCATGCTCAAGCGGCTATCTCGATTGCGAAAAGGCACGTATCCAAATATTGGAACGTACTGTCAAAGTCAGCGCAGGGGTGACCGGTCAGAGAGATAATCGTCATGTGAAATAGTTGAAGAGATAATTGCCGCTGTTCTGTCACCCCCGGGCAAAAAAAAAACACGACGATTCGGCTGGCCGAATTCTGGCAATAAAATGAAACAAAAAGTCAGTGGGGACGGTGACTAATCATCGGAAAATATGTAAACAGAAAGGTGGTAAGTCGAGGGTGCGGTGCACCTGCAACACGGCGGGGTACATATGCACCGGTGGCACGCGTGCAACAGGCATGAAAAAGTTTATCGATCGCCGACACCGAGTGAAATTATGAAATCCGGTGCCACAATTCCCGGAAACACTTCTCGACTTTTATCCTGCCGCCAAATCCAACATCAAAGAATATCAGAGCAATATTGCGAACTGAGCATGAAATGGCAATTAAAATAGAGAGGATTGTGATATACTGAGAAATAGAAGGATTAATACAATAGCTACGATTTAGTTATCCTGTCGTATTAAACAACTGGACTTCTATTCGGTTTATATTAAAAGCACGGTGAATGTGATTCATTGAAAGATCTCGTATAATACTCGAATCTGCATGAGGAGTATAGAACGAGCATTACTTCCTGCAGATTCCGGAAGAGGAACTCCACTCGTACGAGATTCCGGTGTCAAAGTGCAGCGGCACCGGTACCGGAAGTCTGCACCTCTTCTTACTACAACTTAGCGCAAGCTCTCGCGGTAAGGACAGGGTACGATGATGAGAATTTAAAAAACTATGCGAAAAATAGTGGTGAATTCCGGCCGGCTGGGTGCACCGCCGCGACGCGTCCTGTTCTCGCAAAAGCCGTAGAGAAAGAAGGGGAGCAGGTGATGAGGTGGGCCAGGTGGTTGCGACGGCATCCTGGTCTCTTTCAGGGCTGCACCGGGCCCGTGCTCGATGCAGCAGCTGCGTATCTCTGAATACGACAGACGTCGTCGCACCCCTTTCCTTTCTTGGCGAGTCAGGAAACCCTGCTGGAAATCCTCCTCGCGACTTGTACCTACTGGTATTGCCTCATGATCACAGGTTCCTCCTCCTTGGAAGGTGGAGACTGCACTGAGTACGCACGTTGTGCATACGAAGGAGCAGAAGGAACTTGATGTTCGGATGATGCGGATGTGGCCCAGGTGTTGCGCGTAATTGTAGCAGAAAGCGTCACCTGTTGATCGGTCGATGTATGTATCAGGTGCGAATCGAATGTACTGATACTGTTCTCTTGACGGTGATGATGACGAATAGTGGACGTTGCTTTCTCAAGGCTTTCGGTTTTATGTACATGCATGATATAAATATCAGTCTTAAATTTAATCCCAACTTGAGATTGAACAATTGCCAAAGCGATTGTTTAGTTTTTATCTATTCCTGATAATTTGTTGTTCGATTAATCAATGGAACCACGACGGACTTAGCTACTATGTTCAATCGTGGTCCAGTGTTGGTACTTGAAGATAGGCTTCATAAAATTCCAGACGATATCAATATCGGGAATCGCGAGGAAAAACTTTCCAGTCACTAATACAATTTTTATCGTAAAACGTTGTCGAAGATTCTTGAACAACTTTTAAACATCCACGAATATCGATATGCTTGGAGGCACGTGCGCGAAGCATGTTGTCGAGAGTAACGAGAGTGGGAGAAGCAGCAGCTGTGAAGCTGCGAACCCTTCGCTTCGGCTATTGTCGTATCAGGAAGACCCTCCAGGTTTCTTCCTCCCTTAGATTTCTTTGGAACTTCGATTTCTTGAAACCTTGCAATTGACTGGGTCGAATTTGATTTATTATCTTTTCTCAGTTCAAGGAAATTAAGTTCAATAAATTTTTCTATCGAAAAAGTTCAGTCAATCTAAATTAACTTCAAAGTAAAGATACGACAGTGTAGTAACAATCCTTTCAACCGGAATATTATATATTTTATTACAATCCATTAGACAGCTTCTTTGAAATGACAGATCAAGGTTAAATCGTATCACCATCACCTGCCCACTGATCGTTACACATGCAGATCTTGTCACGTTTCCTGTATTAATAAAATGCGACTAACAAGCTGATTAATTTTTATCTGCCATCAATTCGAATATTCATTGCTGATCAATTTCCATTTAATTCCTGTCAATTATTAACACGCATGATCCTCAATCCAATACCATTCCATTGAAATCCCTAAAATTTTGAAAATCTGTAAATTTAAAATATGGACTAATGTAATGATTTATGTAAAACCAGACAAGAAAGTCTAAATACAGCATAGATAATCA